GACAGGGATCCGGTCAGGCCTCTTTGGAAAATGATCTGGAAAGCGCCGGTGTCGCAAAGAGTGCGGATGTTCCTCTGGCTGGTAGCTAAAACCGGACTTTGACCAATAGCGAGCGGGTTAGGCGACACATGTCGGGATCACTGGATTGTGACGTCTGTGGAGCTTCGGAAACCACCTTGCACGTGCTGCGAGATTGTCCAGTCGCCAAGCGCATGTGGCAGAGGCTCCTGTCTCCTAGTGCTGTTGGCAAATTTTTTCTAGCGGACCTCCACGATTGGCTATGGTCGAACTTAGGCAGATTTAAGGAGGGGCGACCAACGACATGGCCAAGTACCTTTGCGTTTGCCGTCTGGTGTGCTTGGAAGTGGCGCAACGAGCGCATTTTTAGCCACCGAAATCTGAGCAGTGAGTCCCGTTGCCGCGACGTCCTCCATCGTACGGAATCCTATATGACAGCTAGTGCAGCGTATGCGCGGGTCGGGGCAGCGGTGCATACTCTTCGGTCGATCCATTGGTACCCGCCGGAGCCGGGATGGGTAAAGGTCAATTGCGATGGGGCAGCTAATCGCATATCGGGCTTGTGCAGCTCCGGGGGACTTATACGTGACGAGCTCGGTAGGTGGATCGGTGGGTTCCTCATGAACGTAGGCAGTGGCACCATTACCGGGGCTGAACTGTGGGGGTTGTTTCAAGGCCTCCACTTAGCGTGGGAGATGGGTTTCCGGAAGGTCGTCGCCGAAGTTGATAGCCAATGTGTAACGAAGATGATAAAGGGAACCGATAGAAACTTTGGCGTCCATGACTCTTGTTGGAGCGATTAGAGACTTGATGGTAAGAGATTGGATCTTACGGATTGAACATGTGCATCGAGAGACTAATTTTGCAGCGGATCATATGGCGGACTTAGCGGCTTCTGAGCCGTTAGGATTACATGTCACTTCGACACCCCCCCTGGGATGGGCGCTTGGCTCGATCACGACCTTCGAGGCGTGGCTTACCCTCGTAGAGTTCTAGCTTCGTAGTTCTAGGCCATTGGCCTACTTCTTTGTACAAAAAAAAATAGATATTATTATATTTATAATTTCGCAATAATCTTTCATGGAAATAATTTAAAATGTCATTTTCTCCAACGACTAGTTAACGACTTTTTTTTTTTTTTGGTCAAACGATAGATCACTCAATTAAACAACCCAAGATACAAAGTTTGATGTCTCAATACATTACAAGAATGAAAAAAATAAGAACCTAAGGTTCAATAATAAGTCGGGAAGTGAGAGAATCACACAGATTGGTGGCCTAGAGCCCAACTCAACAATAACATGGATCAAGGCAGTCACATGACTGAGCCCTTGACTCCAAACACAAAAAAGAAAAGGAAAATGAAAGCAAATACAAGATAGAGCAAAAATACTGGAACTGGTTAAGGCCTGGTCACTCTGCTTGTCATGCAGAAGATCCAATCCTGTTGAGCTGCTTTGACAATGAGATGAGTAGGCCTTTTGACCTTTTCAAACATCCACAAATTACGAGTTTTCCAGAGCCACCAGAGTATGTAGGTTGTTAATTGAATCTGTGCCTCTGATATATCTGACTTGTCCAATTGGCAAATGGACCACCACCAATCCTTAAAAGATGCTCTCCCTTTAGGACCTTCCCATTGGACAGGTGATAGCTTCCAAACTAACTGAGCAAGTGAACAATGGAATAGTAGGTGCTCTGTTGTTTCTACTTCTTCTCCACAGACTCCACAGATATCTTCTACTTCAATACCTCTGGCCAACAGGTTCTTATTAACAGGTAATGTATCATTACAATATTTCCAGATAAAGTGTTTGATTTTGCCCATAACCTACATTTTCTAGCTTCTGTTTCTGATTTTGATGTCTCTTGCCATGTCACTGCTTCCTTGAGGCTGTCCACATTTGAAAAAAATTTCAGTGATGAGATGAGCATAAGCTAATTTGACAGAGAATAGACCATTGTTGTTCAGTTTCTATTTCCATCTGTCAGAAAGGTTGGTGTTGAGGGACTTGATAGACATGATCAAGTTACATATATGCGGAGGTAAGGTTCTCCTGAGCTTTCTTACATCCCAGCTCCAACCATCAGGTGTCATTAGGTCTTTGACCCATACACAATTTCTATCAATGTCAGGTAACAATTCCACTGGTCTTCCTGTGAGTGTAGGTAGCCAGTGTTGATCCCAAATTCTAGTAGAAGAGCCATCTCTGATTTTCACCTGCATCTACTTTGAGCTTATCTGTAAAACTGAATGCCAGCTTCTCCACAACCAAGATGAGTTCTGAGGTAGATGAGCCTAAAAGATTGAAGAGTTAGGGCAATATTTGGCTTTTAAGAATTCTGCTTACTAGAGATTCAGGCACTGTGAGTAGTCTTCAAAGTTGTTTGGCTTTGAGGGTTGTATTAAATAGCTGAATGTCCTGAAATCCCAACCCTCACAACTGCTTAGTCATAGATAACTTACTACATGCCATCCAAGAAAAATCTTTAGCAAGCTCAAAGCCCTTACTCCACCAGAAGTTCCCACAAATGTTGGATATTTCCTTGCACAGAGTGACAGACAAAAAAAACAAGACATAGCATAGACAGGCAGGACATTGAGGACAACTTTAATGAGAATTTTCTAACCTGCTGTATAAAGCCACATGTTTTTCCAATTGCAAACTCTATCCTTGACTACTGAGTGGATATAGTCAAAAGCCTCCATCTTGGATCTTCACATTCCCATTAGAAGGACACAATATCTGGTAGATGAGTGTACCTGGATGCCATAGAGAATAGATCAACATCTGTTCTTGATTGCAGGTGGAGTGTTTCTACTAAAGAACACTGATGACTTGGACATGTTCACATGTTGCCCTGTGAAGTTGTGGTAAGCCTACAGAATCTTAAGAATGTTGCTGGCTTGTTGCTCATTTGCTTTGCAGAATAGCAGTGTATCATCTGCAAACAGAAGATAGGTCAGGGTGGGCCCATCATTTGAAAGTCTTACCCCTCTGTATCTTCCAGCCTCAGCATCATCTTGTATCTTTGCTGTCAAAAGCTCAGAAATAATTGAAAAGAGGTAGGAGGATAAAGGATCCCCCTGCCTTATGCCTCTTGATGAAGTGACAAAGCCACATGGCTTGCCATTCAGGTTGAAAGAGTATGTAGAAAACTGTATACAGACCATAATCCACTTAACATATGATTCCTGAAACCCATTCTCAACATAGTTAATTGCACAGATTTCCACTCTACACAGTCAAAGGCCTTCTTCATGTCAAGCTTTAAGGCCATAAAAAAATTATTTCCTGATCTATGTCTATTAAGGAAGTGAAAGACTTCATGGCCAATTACAACATTGTCAAGCAACTGTCTTCCAGGAAGAAAAGCTGCTTAATTAACTGAGATGCATTCACTGCGACATAGTCTTAACCTCAGAGCCAGTATTCTAGAGATAACTTTATAAAAGACAACACAGAGGCTAATTGGTCTACACTGACTGATAGAAGTGGTATTGAAGCATTTTGGAATCGAAGTGATTAAGGTATGTTTCCAGTATTTAAGCATCTGACAGGATTCAAAGAAACTTTTAACAGCAGATATAATATCCTTACCAATGATTGACCAGAAGTGCTTATAGAAGAGACCTGTCATTCCATCTTCACCAGGTGCTTTGTTTGGGTGAATACTGAAAACTACCTTTTTGATGTCTTCTTCTTCCACAGGGGCTGTCAGCAATGCATTCATCTCATCAGTGACTGTCTTTTTTATCAATGGAAGAATTTCATGCCCTTCTCTAGAGCCATTAGAGGTATAAATCCTTGAATAGAAGTCTGAAATGTGCTCTTGAATGTCTTCTGGAGTGTCAAAAATTGTGTTCCTCTCAGTCACCAGCCATTACAAAAACAAGTTCGGATCAAACGAGTGAAGTATGCATCGACTAATGATGGAAAAGCCCAATATGAAGCGAATGGCATTGGGGCGAAATGATTAAGAGGGACTATAGAGTCGAGGTATCTCCAAGAGATAAAATTTCAATGGAAATGATAGACCGACATATACTTGGTTTGCGAAGAACACGGAAAACCCTCAAGGGGCTTGGTGAAGAAGTCCCCAACCATGGGAAGCTGAAGCTCCTAGGATCGATGAAGATCACAAGAATGTTTGAAGTATTCTAAGTCATATCACAAGAATGTTTGAAGTATTCTAAGTCAATGTCAGACTAGACGGACTAATTTACGTCTTCAATGTTACAAACTTGCCTTGATATTTTGTGTCCACTAACTAATTGCATGTGCAGTAAGGAGTTATATTAATCATTCATATATAGGCAATTGAGATTTGGTGTAATTTAGGCAAACCTCAATGCTATTATTTATAATTATCCCAAAAATAAAATGAATTGAAAAAGTACTCATGCTATTTATTAATAAAGGATACCATATGTATACAATGTTCAACTGCTAAACGCCCCAATAATAATAATAATAATAATAATAATAATAATAATAATAATAATAATAATAATAATAATAATAATAATAATAATAATAATAATAATAATAATAATAATAATAATAAAACATCCAATAAATGCTTTGAAGTAACAGTAGCTGAGTCCAAGAGACCGTCGTGAGCAGGTAATGCTCCATAAAAGACCCTAGTTCCTTAAGTCATGCTGCAAGGAGGGTAACGTGTCGATCTTCATCTTGTGCGACTTTCACAAAATCCGTGAAAAAAACTCATCCCACATGTCCTCATCGCCGCCGTCGTCAGCTATCACCGCCGTGTACAGCGCGCTGAACTCCTCAGCATCGATCTTCTTGATCGTCACCCGCAGCTCCTCCTCTGACTTGTCGAGCTCATTCTCCAGCGACTTGTGGAGCTCCTCCCATCTGATCTTGTCGTCACCATTCCGATCGAGCATGGAGAAAACAGCCGACGTGCACATCTCCTCATGTGGAGGGTAGAGCCCTAACTGATCAGCGAGAATTGATTTGGATTTATCACAAATGATTTTGATTAGTAGATTTATTAATAGATTAAAGATATTTTAAGAATGTTTGGAAACATAATTAATACCTAAGAAAATATTTGGTTTCCAAACAATGCAATATTATAGCACATATATAAATCGTATAATATCATATACTTATTTGTTGCATTAATAGGCTATAATTATTCCATAATTTTCGTTTATTGCTAGAAATATGAGTTAGGTAATTATGGGCACAATAACATTACAAACTCAAATAGATTCTCTCATATTTTACACATATTTTATTAATTTTTGCAATTCGAATTTTCAAACAATTACCGCTAATTCCCAAATTATTTACTAATAAAAGTAAAAACGATTTAATTAGGCGGGAATTCAATTGCTATTTTAGGTTGATATAGGATATCATGCCTACCAGGCTAAACCGATCTGCTGAACCGGTCGAAGAGGACGTAACCGAGCCAAGTGGCAGGAAGATCGAGCAGTCAAACAGTCGACCAGTCCATGACTCGACCAGATAAGCAATTGAGCAATTTAGTCGACTTCAACAGGTCGACCACTTCGAGGACTTAACACTACACTGATCGGCCTAGCCACAGGCGCGTGAGAGAACCTCTAACAGAATTTCAAGAGAATATTAGGCCCACGTGCAGGAGGACACGTGTCGAGAGCACATTGGTGGACAGCGACAACCACATCTGACAGCTCATCCCATGTGCAGGAGGACACGCGTCCAAAGAGTATTGGTGCAGGCGATAGTGGCGACAGCTACCTTTGAGACACGCGTATTGTGTGTACGGACGGGCAGTTAGGGCAAACAGCTCACCAAATCCGGGCAGCCCTAGGTCAGGTATCTCACCCCTATATAAAGGGGGTGAGCCTTTCTTCTTCAACACGATCATTCCATTACTTACTCTTGAGAATTGATTGAATATATACACTGACTTAATCTTCGGAGGCTCTTCACTGAAAAACCCCTCCGGTGTGAGAGTTCTTTGTAGGTGCACGACGTTCAACCGGCGAGAAGAAATGCAATTATTCAAGTTCCAGCCGGTCGGGAAGTTTTGTGTTACCATTTGGCGCCATCTGTGGGACTTTTGTTCGAAAGGTTGTGTTTGAAGCTCAGCTATGGTGGACGGAATTCCCAGAACCAACTTGCAGTCGACGTTCGACGACGCTTGGACGACGACCAGGCCGATTGGACAAGGCCCTTCTCCGGGTTTCTCTGGTCCCTCACAGACGCCGGTCACTCCTACACCTGTCCTTCAAGGTGTAGGAGCGACGACGGTGATTTATGGAGGAGACGTCAGCTCTAGTCGTGCCCAGGAAGCTCGCGTAGCAGCTGCGGTGGCGATGCCACCGCCGCCGCCCCAGAATCCAGTGGTGGCGCAACCAGGGGGAACAGCGGGGCAAGGAGGAGCACCACCGCAAGCAGCGGTGCAAGCCCCTGGCCAGCAGGCAGTGATGACCAGACAAGAGATGCAACAAATGGTGGCGGAGGCAGCTGCGCAAGCGGTGCAGCAGGTCACAAATAGTCTCTCTTGAACTACCATGGTACCGACCACTGTGGCGGGGTCACGTCAAAATGCAGAAGAGGTTGAATCCAGCTACGGCAGAGGTGGGCCCCCACAGGATCGTGAAATAGAGAGAATGGCTGAGCAGCTGCGACAATTGCAGGCCAAGGTGGGCGGTCGGACGGAGAGACGCGCTCGATGGCACCCGTTCTCGATGGACATACTAGCCGCGCCCTTGCCGACCAGCTTCAAGGATACTAATTTGGTGTTCTATGAGACTTCTTACCCATCGAGGCATGTGAGAACGTTCGAAAATATGGCTGTGTTACATGGATATACTGACCCCGTTAGTTGTAGGACATTCTTATCGACCTTGAGAGGAGGAGCCCTCGATTGGTTCCAGCAGCTTCTCCCAGGTTCAATTGCGGACTTTGAGGATTTCGCGGAGAAGCTGACGAATCAATATTCGAGCGCGGTGGCTCAGGAGAAGACGTACTTAACCCTGATGGCAATGAGACAAGGCAAGAAGGAGTCACTGCGCAAATATGTAGCCCGATACAACCAGGCCTGCTTGGAAATTCCGTCGGCGGTCGATGAGGTCAAGGCGGGAGGGTTGATTAGAAGTTTACGAGCGGGGCCATGTCGGACGTCTCTGGCCAAGACCCTGACTCGTACTTATGATGAGGTGTTGAAACGGTGCAGGAAATATATTAACCTCGAGGAGACCGAGACGGAGTTTGCTAAGCTCGAGGAGTTAGGTCGTGTGGAGCCAAAGAAGGAGAAGGCAGTTTCGCCCAAAAGGAGAGCTTCGCCCAGGAGGGAAGGGCGAGCTAAACAGGATCGAGGACGCGAAGACAGA